AACACGCACGTACATGTATAGTTATATGTATACGTATAGGTGAATAGGTGTACGTATATGTATATGTATATGTATAGGTATATGTATGTCTCTCTCTCTATATATATATATAACCTTACGGTCGGTCGGTCGGCGATGTATCTCCAATTCCATGTCGATCTTGAAAACAACGACGGAAGGCTCCTTGCCGATCTGGGACCACAGCTTCTGCGCGCCTCTGGACCCCCTGCGAGGAGGCCCACCGCCGCCCCGGCTCTGGACTGCGTCCCGAGAGGTCCAGGAGGCCACGAGCGCGCGCGGAGCTCCGGCGAGGCCAGCCAAGCATGGCCAGTGGAGAAGGTCCGGGTGGGCCTCCTCGAAGAGATAGGGGGGGCCCGCCCTTCGGCGGTGGACAAACCTCCCTTTAGCAAACCTCCCCTTAGTGTAAGCGGCCTGGGGCCGCATCCGACGGACCTGCACCCGCAAAAACGACGGCCGCGACGCCCTCTCGCGAACCGAGAACGGCCAATTCACGAATCGACGTGTCAGGGTCGGAGGTCTATCAACCCCCGAGCCCTGCAAGCTCTGTCCGCTTTCGCCGGCCCCGCCCGCGCAGCCCCGCCACGCTGGGCTGCACGGCGGCGAGCAGAGGGCGAAAAGGAGAAAGACAGGGGGGGGGGCCCGGCTCGCAGGGGGAACACTCTTAGAGGAACAAGGATGGGGCGGGGACCGGCTCGCAGGGGGAACACTCTGAAAACACAATTCCTTGGGCGCGGGTTTCTTGGATCGGCGCTGAACCCCCCTCCCCGGCGCGCGGAGCGCGCCAGGGGCGGCGCCCGAGGCGCCGCCTGGGGGGCCCGACGCAGATCCAAGAAATCCGCGCGGACCTCCGAGAAATTATGCGTATGACTTTTTGCCTCTTCGAACATCGAACTGGGATCGGTCGGCGATGCATGGCCTATAGGTCGGCGATCCGCCCCCGGCAGCAGGTGCGCACGGCCTTGGGCGGGGTGGGCCTTCGGGGCTCCATGGACGATGCCTGGGCGATCAGGGGTCGATGCGCTCCTCCGACCCCCCTCTCACGTTGCCCCTCAGCAGTGTAGCGCTGCAGCATTGTGGGGACAAGCAGCGACGCAAGCATGAACTATAGATCTGGAGGTCCTCGGTCTGGAGATCGCCAGGGGCCTCGATCTTGAGGAACATGAAATAACAAGAGGAGGCAACTACATACGCTTCTGGAGGTCCGCGAATTTCTCGGATCGGCGCAGGACCTTCCCAGCGGCGCGTCCAGCTCCGCCCCTTGCTCGCTTCGCTCTCTATGGAAGGTGGCCCAACGCCGATCCACAACATCCGCGCTGACACTCGAAAACTTAGGCATATTGCTTCATCGGAGGATGAAGTTTAAATGAAAAGCATCAGGGGGGCGATTCAAAACATAGCTTCCTGCTGCCCAGAGGTGTTCTTGGGAGAGGGCGGTCAGATAAGCTCAGTGGTGGCATGCCGACGACGCCCCCGAGCTGGCATCGACACCGATTTGTTGATCATCACCCATGGCGCTGCTGCGTGACGGACTCCCTGGGTATTCCTTCGTCGCCACCCCACGTCGCGCGAGCCCGGGGTTGCTAAAATGTGCTCTTTGCTCAAGGTGCCTCCAGCTTCTCGCTTGGTGCCACCGGGGGCTCCCTGGGCCTCGTGAGTCCAGGCGTTGTGGGGCCTGGTGGAAGCCTCATTGGGGCCTAGATGCTTCATCTGGGCCTCTTGGGGCCTCTTGGGGGCTTCTTTCGGGCTTCTCTGGGGCCTCTTGGGGGCCGTATTGGGGCCCTCTTGCGTCGTTTGGCTCCTTCGGAGGTCATCCTGTGGCCCTCTCGCGGACGCCTTAGGGCTCTCTTGGGGTCCTCTTCGGCCGTCTCGGGGGCCTCTTGGACCGTCCTGGGGGCCTCTTTGGGCAGTCTTGGGGTCCCCTTGGGAGCTTTTGGGGCCGTCCTGTCGCCATTTTGGAGGCTGCTTCGGCCGTCATGGAACTCTAAAGATAAAAAAAACGAGAACGCTAGAATTCTTCAAACACCAATGGAGAATCAATGGTTTTGGTCTCTGGAGGCGCTCTTGGGGGTCCTCTTGGGGCCCTCTTGGGCCTTCTTGGGGGCTTTTCGGGCTCTCTTGGGGCCATCTTGGGCCGTCTTGGGGTCGTCTTGGCCCGTGTTGAAGCCATTTTGAGCAGTCTAGACGCACTCTTGGACCCCCAATGGGCCCAAGGGGTCCAGATCATTGATTTTCCATCGGCTCTGTAAGTTTCGAAGCCCACAGAGGGGTCCGTCACGCTTGGGTCGACGGAAGTGACGCGACTCCAGGGGGGGTAGGGGGGACACATGAGAATGTAACGTAATGCAGTATGTGGCAATTGTGAAACTATTGGATACGTCGGATACGTTGCGTTATCGCCTTCGCGGAAAACCCTGCCCCTCAACACTTCACCTCCAGACGTGGATTCCTTTCGCTTCGCGGGGTGCACGTCCGGAGCACGTGCAGTCCAGACGTTGTGGGGCCTGGTGGAAGCCTCTTCGGGGCTTCTCTGGGGCCTCTTGGGGGCGTCTTGTGCCGTCTTGAGCCGCTCTTGCGCCATTTGGCTCCTTCGGAGGCCACCCTGTGGACCTCTCGCGGACGCCTTAGGGCTCTCTTGGGGTCCCCCTGGGGTCTCTGGGGCCGTCCTGGGGCCACTTTGCAGGCTGCTTGGGCTGTCATGGAACTCTCAAAACAAAACTATCCTGGCGAAGGACCCAACCATATGCAATTGTGGGAACCGCAATTGTGAATGCCTTCGTCGGTGAAGCTCCCTATGGGGCCACGAAGCGCTGCAGTGGGTGGGGGGGGACGCATGCGGGCGGTAGCACAAGGGCCGTCGGTGGAGCTCCCTATGGGGCCACGAACCGCTGTACTGGGTGTCGCATGCGGGCGGTCCCACTGGGGGCTTCGGTGAAGCTCCCTATGGGGCCAAGGAACGCTGCACTGGTGGGGGGGAACGCATGCGGGCGGTAGCAGTGGGGCCGTCGGTGGAGCTCCCTATGGGACCACGAAGCGTTGTACTGGGTGGGTGAAAATGCCAAATTGGGTGTGTGGGACGCATGCGGGCGGTCCCACTGGGGGCTTCGGTGGAGCTCCCTATGGGGCCACGAAGCGCTGTACTAGGTGGGTGAAAGTGCCAAATTGCTTGTGTGGGACGCATGCGGGCGGTCCCACTGGTGGCTTCGGTGGAGTTTCCTATGGGGCTGCGAAGCGCTGTTCTGGGTGGGTGAAAATGCCGAAGTGGGCGTGTTGGGCGCATGCGGGCGGTCCAACTGGAGGCTTCGGTGGAGCTCCCTATGGGGCCACGAAGCGCTGTGCTGGGTGGGTGAAGATGTAGAGTTGGTAATAATATGTATATATATATTATATATATATAGATATATATATATAAAGGGGGGTGGCCGTGTGGTGTGTGTGTGTGGTCGTGCGTGCTGCGTGCGTGCGTGCGTGCGCGTGCGCGTGCGCGTGCGCGTGCGCGTGCGCGTGGCGCGTGCGCGTTGCGCGTGCGCGTGCGTTGGTGTGTGTGTGTGTGTGTGTGTGTGTGTGTGTGTGTGTGTGTGTGTGTGTGGGACGCAAGCGGGCGGTAGCACTGGGACTTCCAGTGGAGTTCCCTAGGGGCCACGAAGCGCTGTACTGTGTGGGGGGCGCATTGCGGACGCGTAGGGAGCCACTGGGACTTCGGGGGGGCTCCTATGGGGACACGAAGCGCTGTCACTGCGTGCGGGGGGGGGGGGGCGCATGCGGACGGTGGGCACTGGGGACCTCGTGGGGCTCCCTATGGGACCACGAAAGCGCTGTACTGCGTGGGGGGGGGGGGGCATGAGGACGGGTAGCACTGGGACCTTCGGTGGGGCTTCCCTATGGGGGCCACGAAGCGCTGTAATAGGTGGGGGGGGGGCATAGTCCGATCGGCCCCGTCCCGCGCGCCGCATTCCTCCCTACGGCCGGCCCCCCCCCCCCCCCCCGCCTCCCCACCTCCCACGCCGCCGCCCTCGCGGGTGAGGGCACCACCGGGGGCCCGGGGGGGGGGGCGCGCGTAGCCCCCCGCCTCCCTCCCCCCACCTACGCCCGCGCGCGCCCCCCCACCTACTGCCGCCCGGGCCGGCCCCCCTCGCCCGCCCGGCTCTCTACGTCGGCGCCCCGACCCCCCCCCCCCGCTCCCGGGCCCACCCCACCGGCCGGCCGAAGACGCCTTACCTACCCCGCCTCGCCACCCCCGGTGCCCCGCCCTCCCCGCTCGGCCCCCTACCTCCGCCCCCCGGCACCCGCGCTACACTCCCCGGCGGCGCTGCCAGCATGCGGACGGTAGCACTTGGACTTTCGGTGGGGCTCTTTCTGGGGCCACGAAGCGCTGTACTGGATGGGGGGGACGCATGCGGACGGAAGCACTTGGACTTTCGGTGGGGCTCCCTATGGGGCCACGAAGCGCTGTACTGGGTGGGAGGGACGCATGCGGACGGTAGGAGGAGGGGAGGAACAGTAGAGGACAGGAACGCGGGGCACCATCTCTTCAAAACGAGGACCCAACACCACAGGTTGGTTGGGGAAGAAAACGAGATCGCCAGAATCCTTTAACAACGTATGGAAAATCAATGAATTTGGCTTCTGGAGCGCTCTTGGGGGTCCTCTTTGGGCCCTCTTGGTCCTTCTTGGAAGCTTTTCGGGCCCTCTGGGGGCCATCTTGGACCGTCGTGTGGTCGTCTTGGCCCGTCTTGAGGTCATCTTGAGCCGTCTTGACCCACTCTTGGCCACATCCGCAGACCCCTTCAGTCCTGCAAACGAAGCCCGTTCGGGTGACGACTTTTGGGATGGACTCTGCAATGGCGCTGCGCGCACCGAACCGTGGAAGGAGGACTTGGAGGAGAGCACGAGGGAGGGCGACGAGGAGATGGAGAAGGCGGGAAAGGAGGAGGAGGAGGAGGAGGAGGAGGAGGAGGAGGAGGAGGAGGAGGGAGACGCCTTGAGCCATGGGCACCGCACCCGAACGAGCTGGGCAGCACTCTTCCCCGCTCCGCCCCCCGGCGCCTCTTCGCCGCCAGCCGCCTCGCGCCGACGTGGGCGTCCGTGAAGTCCACGGTGGCGTGGCTGCACAGCCGCCAGGCGGGGACCAGCCGCTCGAGCGCCGCGCTCCCGAGGTCCTCGGGGCCGTCCTCTGCTCTCGCCACCGTTCGGGCGCCCATCCATTTTTTTTTTGTCTGTTCTCTCTCTCTCTCTCTTTCGCTCTGTTTGGTATCTCTCTCTCTCTCTCTTTTTTTTTTTTTTTTTTTTTTTTTTTTTCTCTCTCTCTCTCTCCATTTCGCAAGTTGATCCAGGATGCTCCTCGATGTAAGGAGCCAGACTCTGTACACCAACGCTCTTTCTGGCCCCGCACTGGAACTTGCAAATCGGAACGCGGGTCCTGGTGGATACGGGATCCTGGCGTACAAATTCTTCGGCGCCACGCCACACCACCACACCACACCACGCCACACCTGGGAAGCGGAACGCAAGTGTACACCACACCACCCCGACGTCGCTCCCGACCCACAAAAAGTTCTGGGGGTTGAAAAGCAACCCGCCTCTGGCAGTGTATAGGCTTAAATCGGGCGTGTCCCCCTACAGGGAGATTTCCGACGAAAAATAAAACAGAAGTACCTTAAACAAGCTCCAACTTTGTCAAACAATGCAAAATAGTCCCCAGACTATTTTTTGACTAATATTCCCCCTGTAGGGGGACAGGCCCGACTTAAGTATAGGCTCCAGCTTCTGACGATGGTCCTCGCCGAGGAAGAGGTGCACACGCCCGAGCGATGCTGGGCGCCTGGCCGCGCACACGCCGCAGTGGCACGTGGGGGGCGGCCTCCCCGAGACGAGGGGAGGCCCCGGCCCCCTCGCGCCGCGAGAGGAGCACGACGGCAGGGCTTCTCCCAGCCGTCCTGTGGCGTGGGGTCCCCGATTGGAAGGGGCAGCGCCCCGCGTCCCTCGCTCCCTCCTCCCCCTCCTCCTTCCTCCTCCTTCCTCCTCCTTCCTCCTCCTCCCTCCTCTCCCTCTTCCCCCTCCCTCCTTCCTCCTCCCCCCTCCTCCCCCGGCAACCGCATCACCACCCGCCCCCGCCCAGTGCGGCGTGCCCGTGGCCCCATCCCTCAATCATTCCTCCCCCTCCTCCTTCCTCCTCCCTCCTCCCCCTCGCTCCCCCCGCCTCACTCCCCCCTCCCTCCCCCCCTCTCTCCCCCCCTCCTCCCCCTCCTCCCCCTCGCTCCCCCCTCTCCTCACCCTCGACTCCCCCTCCTCCCCTTCCTCCCCCTCGCTCCCCCCCCCCTCCTCCCCATCCTCCCCCCCCCTCCGCATCCACCCGGTGCGGCGTGCCGTGGGCCCCAGGGGGGAGGCTCACCGGCGGCAGGGCCCGTGCGCGTGGCCCCCTCGCGTCGCGAGGGAAAAAATACCGCGGCGGCGGGCCTTCTGCAGGGCCCTCCGATCGCCACCTTCAGCCGCCGGGCGCCCACGCAGACGTGGCGGCCCCTCCCCAAATCGGCCATCGGCGCAGCCTTCGCAGGCTCCGGGCCTCGTGAGGAGGCTCCTCCCCCGACTGCATGCATGTGTTGCCTGACCCCGAGGGCAAGGAGCCAAACGAGGAACGGAGTCCCTCTTTGGCTCCGAGTTAAGTCTAGGAAGTCCGAAGGAAACACCACGGGGGCTCGCCGCCAAAAAGGTAGCGGAACGCATGCAAACCAAAGGAACGACCGAGCCCCTTGCGAAACGTAAGTCTTCCTCATTCGAGCAGGGCCCGGTGTGGCTGGGCCCTTCGCCTGGATTTTTTTGGCCGTCGCCACCATCGGCCTCCGGGCGCCCACGCCGAGGGCCCCCTGGGGCGGTGCCCGTGGAGGGCCATTCCCAGGCCTCTGCGGGAGACGCGCCGTGCAGGAGCACACGCGGCGTCGGCGGTCTGAGCGGGCGCGGGGCGGCAAGGGGGCCTTCCTCTTGGAAGCCCGCCTGGCTTCTCGGGCGCCTTCTCGGGAGCTCGAGGGAGGAGGAGGAGGAGCAGACCCTTCCAAGGAAGGCCCTCCTTGTCGGAGAAGGCAGTGGCACCTCCTCAGGAGCCAGCTCCTCTCGCGCCGCCCCTCCTGCGCGCCGCACCTTTTTGTGCACCGCGCTGGCTCGACGGAGCGGCGCACCTTGCAGGCGCTCCGTGGGGCGGGCTGACCTGGCCCTTCCGGGGCCGAGCCCGAGCGGTGTGCTCCGTGCTCGTTCCGCTCTTCGCTCTCCCTCGTTCCGCCTCCGCTTCGCCTCGGCTGCAGAGCACGGAGCGAAGACCTGGCCATCGCTCGGACGTCCATTCCTTGTTTTTTTTGCGGTTTCGTGCGTGGCTTTTTCGCCAAATGATCAAGGATGCTCCTCGATGGTCCTCGCCGAAGAAAAAATGTACACGTCCGAGCGATGCCAAGGCAGAGCACGGAGCGAAGACCCGCAGCGGCCCACGAGGTGACGAGAACACCGTCTGGGCCCGGCCCTGCTCCCATTCCCCTCCCCTCGGCGCTCCTCCCTCGCCTTCCCCTCTGCTCCGACCCACGACCTCGGGCCGAGGAGAGAGAGCGCAGAGCCCGCCGCACGCCGACCCAAGACCTTGCCGTCGCTCGGACGTCCATTTCCCGTGCATTTTTCGATTTCGTGCGTGTTTTTGTTGCTCGATGGTCCAGGATGGTCCTCGCCGAGAAAAAATGCACACGTCCGAGCGATGCCAGGAGACTCTGGGGCGATGGACGAAGCTGTGGAGTGAGCCCACGGAGCATGACGATCAAGACTCGGCGGTGGACAAACCTCCCTTTGGTAAACCTCCCCTTCGTGAAAACAGCCTGGAACCGAAGCCGACGGACCCAGACCCGCAAAAATGACGGCCGCGACGCCCTCTCGCGAACCGAAAACGGCCAATTCCTTAATCGACGTGTCAGGGTAGGAGTCCATCAACCTCCGAAAAACTGGAACGAATGCCACTACGCAGGTGCTAGCATTCCTGCGTATGGCTTCTGCTGATGGGCAACTTTGCCCGTTGGCAAAATCCAGCCCGAGCGCATCTGCATCCTGCTTTCCACTCTTGCACCTCACACTGGTGAGCGTTTTTTTTTTGTTCGGCGTTTCGACATTGGGCGAAGGGGGAAAGGGGAGGGGGGGGTCTGGCTCCGGACCTCTGCTTGGTGTGACTGTTTGGGACCGTGCGTCCTCTGGGGGAGACTCCCATGCTGGAAACAGGCGCCAAAGACAGCCAAGATCTACTCCACCGGGGGCGGGGGGAGGGGGGGGGGCGCGAGGGCCCGCGCCGATCGGCAACAAGAATGAATCAAACGACGCTCACCCGGCTAGCCGTCCCTCACTGCTGCGTACTGCCACCACGCCCGTGCCAGAAGACCGTCGGAACCATCGCGTGGAGCTCGGAGGGACAGGCGCTCCAGGCATCGCGCTCGCGGCAGAGGGTCGGAGAGCAAGCGGCGCGGTCCTGTGGATCGATGCACGCGGCCACGCCGTCCCAGCTCAGTGGCTCGCGCACCAGCTCCCGAAACCGGCAGCTGACGCAGGACACCTGAGCAGCCCGGGTCGATCTGTGCCGATTCGCGGAGCCGACTGCAACACAGCGGCCACGCCATCCCAACTCAATGGATCGCGGCGACGCCGTCCCAACTCAACGGGTCGCGCACCAGCTCCCGGAATCGGCAGCTGACGCAAGACACCTGAGCAGCCCGGGTCCTGAGCACTTTCTCAGGGTGGAGGGCTCAGGGTGAGATCCATATGGGCTTCTGCACCTCGAGAATCAATCCGTCTCGTGACTCCCATTTGGCAGATTCGAGCCTCGAAGATCCATCGGAACGGCACTTCAGATTTCACCCTTTGCCCTCCACCCAAAGAAAATGCTCGGAGGTCGATCTGTACCGATTCGCGGAACCGCTTGCAACACAGACCAAAACGGCCTATCACTAATCAACGTGTGGAACCACGGAATCGAAGACGCCAAATCGCCAAACCATGCCGTCAGGCTACACGCTCCCCGATTTTGCGATCAAGCGGAACAAGAATATCGGTTGTCTACAGTATCTTCGCATGTCCTTGCGGTGACGACGCAGGCGATGGATTCTGGCACCGAATGGATCCTTCAGACTTGAACGATCGCGGCTTGCCGATAACGCCAGTTGCCCGATGTCGGCCGATGCAAAACCACTGACGAAGCCGAACTTTCAATGCCCGCGCTGGCGTCGCCGCCGCTTCGACGCGGTGCGAACCAGACGCAAGGTTAGAGCCAACATCCGTCGGGGAATCGGACAACATCTGAATGTACAGTCGGGGCGTTGACCCAAGGAACCCGAAATAAGGAACGAGGCCCCTTCTTTCCATGAGTTAAACTTCGATCTCCCATCGAAAACCTAGGGAAAACACAAGAGAAGCTGTGAAACAATCAAGGAACACGGAGCCCCTCCCCAACGAAAAGGGTTCCTTCTTCAGGACCCCAACTGTACGCCAGATCGCTCCACATCGGCACGGGATCGAAGTCGGCTCAGATCGGCCGCGCCAGGAGGCACCGCGGCGCCGTGCAGACACCGGGATGCACCAAATCTCTCAAAACTTGGCACCGAATCGAATCGGGCCAGCCGAACTCGATGTCGACCGGATCGACATGGACCCTAACGTGTCCCTCGATTTTCGGGCCACACCTTGGGTCTCCAGCAGACGTTCGGGACGATTCGGCGCAGCTGCTGGAATGCATCCCGATGCAAGAACGAACGTCCGCACACGTCCGTGTGGAACCTGATCGCGATCGGTCGACACCGATCGAATCGAAGTCGGCCCGGGCCGCAAGCGGAGCTGGGCTGAGCGAGACCCAGACATCTTTCTTTGCCGCTTCCTCACGACGTGGTTTCTCAGAAGTCTGGACCTTGGCGGTGCGCACCAAGGGGGTGGAGGGAGGAAGGAGGGCTTCTTAGAAGGAGGCTGCTTCTTAAAGGCGCCGGCCTTACGTGGATAGATCAGGCCCGCGCCTTCTAAGAAGCAAGGGCACTTCTAAGAATCTCTCCCCCCTCCCCCCACCTCCTCTTCGGGAGCGGCCAAGAGGGGGTGTCCAAGAGGGGGGGTGCAACTCGTGACCCGTGGCACGTGCGCGGCTCAGCGGGGGGGCCAGGGACGTCATGAAACAAGCAGGGGCGCCGGCATGATATCCGCCCCCCCTCCTCGCACTGCTGGCAAAGCGGTCCTTATCCGCCGCAGCCCGCGCCGCGCGCGCGCGCGCCCGAGCGCGCGACGCGACGCAAGACCCCCTACCTCTGAGATCCTCTCGAGGGGCCTCAAAAAGCCTCTGAAAGGAACGCGCGATCCCCGAAGGCCCAACTCCGAAAGGGCGACGGCAAAGACGCCTCCCTCCTCCCTCCCCTCCCCCTCCTCCCCCTCCCTCCTCCTCCTCTCCGCCTCCTCTCCTCCTCCCTCCTCCTCCTCTCCTCCTCCTCCTCTCCCCCCCTCCTCCTCCCCCTACCCCTCCTCCTCCTCCTCCTCCTCCTCCTCCTCCTCCTCCTCCTCCTCCTCCTTCCCCTCGTGGATGATGGCTGGGCTCTCGTGGTTGGCCTCTCGGGGGCCCTTTGGAGGGAGTCCTGAAGCCCCTCGGCGGCAGATTCCGGGCCGCCTGGTACCTCTTTTGGGCCTCTTGGGGCCCTCGTGGGGCCTCGTGGGGCCTTCCCGGGGCGGCAGTCCCGAAGCTTCGGTTCGCGGCCCTCCTTGGTAGGCCCCTCCCGGGAGGGTGCCTCGCGGAGGCACGGTGGCGGCGCAGTGAGGCACGCTGGCCGTAGCAGGCTTCTCGATTCGATGCCGACCGAGGGCCGCCCCCCCCCCCCGCTCCCCCTTGCCTGGCGGGCGGGAGCCCGCGGGGCCAAACGCCCGCGCTGGGCTGCGCGCGGTGGGGCGCAGCTGGGGGCGGGGGCGGGGAGGAAGGGCGGGGATGGAGGGAGGGAGTGGGGGGGGGAGGGAGGGCAGGGAGGGAGTGCGGGGAGGGAGGGCCGGGGAGGGGGGGATGGAGGGAAGGAGGGACGAGCGTCCGAGGAGGCCTGGGAATCTAAGGGGCGCGGCCGGCAGGGCCGCGCGGCTGCCCCGCAGGACGAAGCTCAGGGCCCCGCACCACGCCTCCCCAGGCAGCTCGGGCAGCGCCGCCACAGGTCCGCGGGCGCCGCGCCCGTTGGCGCGGCGGCGTGCAGCTTCTGCGGCGAATCTGAGGGCGCCCAGGGGGGAACCCCAGGGGGAGGAGGAGGAGGAGGAGGAGGAGGAGGAGGAGGAGGAGGAGGAGGAGGAGGAGGAGGAGGAGGAGGAGGAGGAGGAGGAGGGAGGAGGAGGAGGAGGAGGAGGAGGAGGGGAGGAGGAGGAGGAGGAGGAGGAGGAGGAGGAGGAGGAGGAGGAGGGTAAGGGTAAGGGTACATGCGCCGAAGCGCGGCCGACAGGCCGACGGACGACTGGTTCTGCTGCGCACTGTCAAACGATCGATGGGGGTGGCCCTCGCCGCCTCGCCCATCTTAAAGTAGCTTTCGCTGGACCTTCCTCGTCCATCTGCCTTGGAGGGCACTGGCAAGGGGCTGGCGCCGGGGCCGCCTCAGCAGGCCTCTAGCCCACGAGCTCCGCCTCCTCGGAGACTATGTCGGAGGCGTCGGCAGCCTGGGTGCGGGCCGCCTCGCGGCCGACACGGCGGACCTCCTCGAGGTCGTCCTCCGTGAGCCCGTAGCAGCGGAGCAGGAAGAGACGCGCCGCCCTCGGCTCGGGCCGCCTGCCCTGGGGCCCTGGCGCATCCGCCGGCGTGGCGGGAAGGCGCTCGTCGCCAGCAGCAGCGCGATGCCCGCCGCTCGCTGCCGCGGGCAGGTCCCCTTCCAGCTGGAGGTCGCCTGCGAGCTGCAGCTGCTCCTCGGGCCCTAGGGCAAAGGGCCCCTCGAGCGCTCCACCTTGTCTCCCCTTGCCGTAGTGGGGCCAGCGCAACAGGCGCACCAGCCGTAGCTGCTCTTTGCCTGCGCTGGACTCCCGCCCTCGGCACCAGTTCTTGAGCAGCTTGCCGGGCTTGCGGCCCGCCAAAACCCCGCCGCACCGCAGGCAGAACACGAAACGCATCTGGGGGTTTTCCGCCACTCGGCAGCGCAGGAGAGCGTGCCCTCTAGCCCTCCACGCATGCCTGGCCAGGACCTGGTCGTCGAGGCCAAAGTGCAGCTCCACGTGCCCTGGGACGCGTCCCTCCTGGCTTTGGGGACTGGCAGCCGCGCCTCCGGCTGGGCCTGCAGGACCCGCGTCGCCGACCGGCCCGCTGCCCTCGCATGCATTCTCGGGGGGCTGCTCCTTTGCAACGGCCATCTCCTCGCTGAAGTCGACGCCGAAGCCGAAGGCGTCTGAGCCCTGGGAGGCTGCCCCGCGCTTGGTATCAACTGGGGCCGCCGCCGCTTCCGGCGCGAGCGGCACGCCCCACCTGGACGGGCCTGCCACCGCCCCTGGGGCTGGGGCAAAAGGAGTGCCTCCGGCAGCCGAGGGGGGAATTGCATCCCCCGGAGCTGCAGCAGCAGCCGCCGCTGCCTCCTCCTTTTCTTCGCTTCTCGCCGCCTCCTCGTCCCCTTGCCCAGGCCGCTCTTCCCGACCAGCCTCTGCCTGGCTCTCCCTGACGGGAGCTTCGCGCGCGACGTCGCCGTCCGCGGCGGCTGCAGGGGCAGCGCCCTCGCTGAGTTGGGCGCGTCCGTGGAGCACATCCTCATGCCGCGGCCCCCCATCTTGGGCAGGTCCCCCCCCCCTTTCACGCCCCCCTTCAGAAGGGGGGCAGAAATGGTACAGAAATTGCCCCCATTTACGTGGGACAGGGGAGCATCGGCATAGCGCCAGCATTCCAACCCTGGGGAGTTGCCTCCCCAGTCTAGGTCTCTAACTTTAACTTGAATGCGTTGGGGGCAAAAGTAGGCTGGCCCCCTCCCCCTCGGGCCCCAGCGGGCCCCAACGCGCTGCCTTTTGGGCGCTCCACCACACCTCTCCCCCATGCCCCTCGCCACTTGCGGGGGCCCCGGGAGGGGTCTCGGGGAGGGTGGACGGTTGGGGCCCCCCCGGTCCTCGTGGTCCAGTCGCTGCCCGTCCCCCAGCTCGGCCTCCAGGGTGGCGCTCCAGCGGCGTGCCTCCTTCGCCAGCTCCCGCAGCCCTCGCCGTAGGGCCTCGTCTGGCTCGCCGAGCGCATGCCTGGCGGCGCCCCGCTTGGCGAAGGAGTCGGCGTGGTCGTTGGCCCGCCGCTCCCAGTGCGTGCTGCGGCCCGCGTCGATGTCGCCGCTTGATGCATGACCCAGCGTCTTGTGGGCCTCGAAGTCGCCCTCCGTGAAGGAGGCCCAGAATGGCCCCCAGAGGTGGGGGCGCGGGTCCACCCCACGAGTACCGGCGCCGGCGCCGCCTCCGAGGGTGCGCAGTGTGTTGGCGCAGTCGAGGTACAGCTGGAAGGGCGCCATCGCCACCTGCGACAGCATGTGGACCGCGTAATCCTCTGCGTCGGGAGCAGTTTGGTTGGGCGCGTCCGACAAGGGCACTGGGCCGTACGCAGCCGCCTCCAGGTGGCCGAAACGGTCGACTTGGACCACCGACCAGCCGGCATGCTCGAGCCCTGGGAGGGACCCAGCAAAGGCGCTCCCGTCCAGGAAGAGGCACCCCGTGAGCAGCCCTGTGCTGGGTCTGTTTACCCAGCAGATGTCCCCCTTCCTGCCCACCCGTTCGAACAGGCAGCTGGGGCTGGGGAAGAGCCCGCGGCAGAACCGCTCCGCCGCCTCGAGGCTCCACCTCCTCACCCGGGCAGCTCGGGCCCGCAGGCTGACCGACGCGCCCTCTCGGCGGCGGGCTGCGTGGTAGGGGCACTCGTAGTGCCTGTGGAAGAGGCTGCCCAGCTGCTCGCCGCACAGCTGGCACCGCGCGGTGCTGACCAGGCCATGTGCGAAGAGACGCGCCTGCGGCCAGTGGACGTTCGTGACCAGGGCCTTCAGTGCACCCTGGTGCCGCTTGCTCCATCCTGGGGTCGCATTGTGGAGGAGCGCGTGTAGCGGCTCCCAGAAGATGGGCCCGCTTGGCAGGCCCACTACTCCTCTGGCCAGAGTCTTGCCCGTGGCCTGGAGCGCTAGCTTGTCCGAGGCGCGCGCCGCGGCCTTCTTGGCCTGCTCCTTGACCTGGCGGGGGCCCACCCTGAGCAGGTCGATTCTCGTGCCATCATCGGTGCGTATCGCCAGGGGGCCCTCGAAGTCCCAGCCAATCCGCCTCGCCGTGAGGAGGGCCGCGTCCGCTGGCGTGCGGGCCGTGAGCCAAGGCCGGGGGTTGCCCTGCGCCCGCGCCAGCGCCGCTGCCATGGTGACTTCCAAGACACGGCCGTGCACCTGCTGCTCCCAGGCTGCCAGCGCCCACATGTACAACACGTCCATCGAGTGCAGCACCAAAGGGTCCAGTTTCCGACCGAGGCGGTGTGCGTGTAGGCGGAGGCCCAGCGCGCAGCCTTTGGGCAGCCGCCCAGCCGCTGCCGCAGCCTTGACTCGCAGTCTGTGGAGAGGCCCGTCCGCCAGTCCAGCGGTGGCTGTACCCCACAGGGCCGAGGCGGAAGCCCCCATCCGCTGCAGCATGCCCGCATCGCCGAGGCCTCCGCGCCGAAGGGTCCCGTATCGCCTGCTGCGGCGGAGTGCCTCGACCTCCCTCGTGGCCTGGGCCGCCACCGAGCGCCTGGCCCCCAGCGTGTGGTTGGTGCCCAGGGCCTTCATCGTAAGGACCCTCGACGAGCCCGGAAAGGCCCAGGCCTGCTGCAGCTGCTCGTCAAACTCCGCGTCAGAGGCAAGGTACTTGCTCTTGCCTGGTGATAAAGGGAAGCCCGAGCCGCCCGAAGTCCTGTAGCAGGCTGCTGAGGCTGGCCGCGGCTTGCTCAACCACCAGCTTTCTCGTGCCGGTGACGTTTAGGAGGACGTCATCAACCACGTTGCGGATCGCAGCGCACGGTCCCACCGCGCTGGCTCGCCGAAGGGGGCCGATGAGCACGAGGCGCGCCAACGTAGTGGCGCCGCTGCAACCGGCGATGATGGCTGCGGCTGCCTGGAAGGGCGGGGAGGCGCCGCCTTCGAAAACCACCCTGCGCCATCCAGCGTAGATGCAGCACAGACCACGAACTAGCCTGAGCGGAAAGCCGTGCTCCTTGGCGGCTTCGTAGAGGAGCCGCAGTCTGACGTTCTCATAGAACTTCTGGAGGTCGACACCCGCGGTGACCGAGGAGAAGCCGACTTCCCTCGCGAAAGCTGCCTTCAGGTTGTGGGTGTACCCCGCCCACTCGCAACTGGTCAGGGAGGAACCGCCCCAGAAGAACTGGTCGTCGTGCTCCCGCTCCCAGGCCGCGCAGAGCGGCCGCCTCAGCCTGGACCACAGCCGGGGGAAAAGAGCCAACAGCCCTATTGGCCGCACCCCTCCTCCGGCTCTCGCTATGAAGATCATCAGGGTCTGGAACGCCTCCAAGGCTTCTGGGCGCTCCTCGAAGGACATGATGATGTCGAGGGCCCGTTGAAGGGCCTCGTCGCCCAGCTGCAGGAGGACCCTCGGATTGAGCCCGTCCCAGCCAAGCCCTGCTGTCTCCGAGTACCTGGCGCAGACGTCCTTGAACTCCTGCAGGGAGACCGGGGGGAGGGGTTCGTCCTCGACCTCCCACAGGAGGAGGAGGAAGAGGAGGAGGAAGAGGAGGAGGAGGAGGAGGACCAGTGTAAACCCAAGAGTCATCAACGATGTTGGGATTAACAATCCCTCCAAACTCCCTCTTCACAGGCCCCGTTCATTTCAATTTGGGAAACTGCCTCGTTGGAAGACAACCGTTTGAAGATCCGGAAGCATGCCAAAACATTGTTCTCTGGATTTTAACGCCACAAATCAACCTGACTGCTGCGTCTTGACGATCTGGAATCGTGCCGAAACGCATTTTTTGGGACTTCAACACCGCGAATCAACATAACTGTTGCATCCGCGTAATCCTGAATCCTTCCCAAACACAATTCCTGGTACGTTGATCGTGGGAATCCGTGAAACTCTTGCACTTTCAAAACGAATGTGCGCGGCGCCAAGGCGAGAACCACATTTTGAAACTGACCCGCCCTCAATCCGTGAAGCTCTTGCAAATGTTTAGAACGAATGTGCGCGGCGCTAAACCGAG